TATAAATCGCGCTTAGAAGATTATAACTATATAAATTAATAAATATTAATAAAAGATTATCTTTTAAATAGATAATAAGATCTTTTTAAATAATAAGAATATTATCTCTAATTATTCTTTTTATAAATTAGATTATAAAAGACTTACTCTATTTAAGATTATAAATCTTATAGAAATTTTATATTATTTAAAAGATTTTTTAAATATAAGAATCTATAACGTCTTCTATTTTAATCTTTAAGATTTTATAATAAATAACTTCTTACTAGAATAGATAAAATCTTTATTAAAATATATTATTATTAATAGTTAAATTAAATAGATTATTAAGAAAATATTTATCTATAAATTAATTAATAGCTATTTTAAATAAAATTTTAAGTGAAAAGATCTCGATAATATTCTTATTTAATATAATTCGAATAGCGATAAATTCGAAAATTATTAAGATCTAGTTACTGGCTGAAAAGATATAATATATTTTATAAAATATTTCATATTAAGTGATATTATATCGTATTCGAGTATAATATAAATAGAGTTAAATATTATTTTATTTTTCTAATATAGATTCGAGATCTTAACGAAATATTCTACGATATAATATATCTATAATATTATATTATAATATAATATATATATAGAATATCTTAATTAGAATTTCTATATTTATAAAATAATTCGATTAAGATATATAGAATATATTTATTTATTTTTATTAAGAGAGAAGAAATATAAAGAGTAATTTAATATAGTTATTTATCTTTTTATTAATAGTAATAATTAGAATAATAATTAAAATTATAAGCGTTTCTATTTTTTTTTTAAAGTTATAATATAAAAGAATATTCTAAATTTTAAATCTTTAAATATTATAAGAATAAAATTCTATAATTATCTTTATTTATATATTCGTTTTAACGCGTTAGATAAGCTTAATAAACTTTATATTTATTTTTCTCTTAAACTTTACTTTACTCTTCTATTTTATTTTATCTTAATTTTTTTAAATATTTTAAATCTATCTTTATCTAATTAAACTTATTAATTATTTATAAATAAATTTACTTTTTAAATTACTCTAAATCTTTTTATTAAGATTAAATCTATTATTATTAATTCTCTCTAATTATAAATTTATTAATTATTTCTTTATATATTATAGAGTATTAGTAGAATATTTTAATAAATTTATAAATATTAAATTTATTAGAGTACTTTTTATAAGCTCGTTATCTTTATTAATATAATTATTATAGATATTAATTAAGTTTTTATATAAAGTATTATTAACTTTTTTAATCTAATTTAATATATTAAGATTTTCTTTAAAATTAAATCTAGTTTATTTAAATTTATTTTCTTAATATTTTATATAAAAAATTATTATTAAAATATAAAATATCGCTAATAAATAATATTTCTAAATATTATAATATCTTTTAATTATTAAAAAATATTATTTATATATAATAGTTTTTATAAAAAAATAAAGAATATTATAAGCTATTTAAATAATTATAATATATTTAAATTTTAATTTCTTTTATTATTTTAGAATTAAAAAATTTATTAAATTATTAAAAAAAGTTTTATAAAGATTAGAAGTAAGATTATAATTAGAATAATAATTAGAAGATTTATTATTTCTTTTATATTATTAAAATTAATTATATTTATTCTTATTATTTAAATTTTAAATTTTAAATTTTATTATTTAATTAAATATATTTTTATTTAATTAATTTATTCGCTTAGCTTTTTATAATTAACTACTTATATTAATATTTTAATAATTTTAAAATATTCTTATAAGCGCTTTTTAATAAATTTTTATCTATAATTACTTTTTAATATTAATCTTTTAATTTAATTTTTTTAATTTTATATTATTATAATTTAAATATAGAAATATAATTTATTTATATAAATAGTTTAAATCTAATTAAATTTAATTATAATAAATAATTAATTTTTTATAAATTATCTTAAAAATTTTAAAAAGTTCTTTTTTTTAAAAAACTCTCTTTCTTTTTATTTTTTTAAGTTTTTTATTTATATAATTAAATAGATAATTATAAATAATAAAAACGTAATAAATTATAATCTTCTTTTCTTTATTTATTAATTTTATAAATTTATAAAAAAAATTAATAAATTAAATTAAATATTAAATTTATTAAAAATTAATTAAAAATTATTTAAATATCTAAATTATAATTTTTATTTATATTTATTTTTCTTATTATTTAATTTTAAATAGATAATTAATTAATTTTTTAAGAAATATATAATATTAATATAAAGAAGTAGAGTATAAATTAATATTTAATAAATTAAATCTTAATAAGTTTTAATATTCTAAAAAAGTTTAAAAAAGTATTTTTAATAATATTACTTTTTTTTAGAAGATTAATATTTATTTAATATTAAAATATTTTTATTTTAAAGTCGTTTAATTTATAATATAAAAAAAAACTTTTTATATTAATCGCTAATATTAATATATATAATAATTTTTTAAATCTTAATATAATTAATAATATAATAATTAAAATAATAATAAAAAATATTATATCTTTATTAGAGTTATCGATAAATTAATTATATTTATTTAAACTTAATTCTTATCTTCTTTATTATTTTAACTTCTCTAAAAAAATTTATTTATTAAAATAATTTTAATATTATCTAGAAGTTTTTTTAAAATTAATTAAATAATATATATTATATAGAAAATATACTATAAATAATTTAGAGATTTAAATTCTTTAATATTAAGTAAATTATTTATTATAAAAATAAAAAAATAAGTAATTAAATCTTTATAGAGTATATTATTATTATTAATATTATTAATTATAAATTTAAATATATAAATTTTAATCTTATATTTCTCGAGAATTAAATTAATAATATTTATAAGTTTCTAATTAATATATTTATCTTTAATATACTCGAAATCTATAAAAATCTTATATTATTATTAATTAATATTAATAAAAAAGATTAGAATTATTATAAATAATTAATAATTATAAAATAATTAATAATTTAAAATTAAAGAGACTTTAATATTATTAATTAATAAATTAATTAATAATTTTAATTTTAATTTTATAGCTTTTTTTATTAATTAATTCTTTATAATAGATATTAATTTTAATTATATATTAGAATTAAAATAGTATAAGAGTTATAATATTTTAAAATTATTAATAATTATAAATAAAATATTAATATTTATAATTTAATAATAAAATTATTTCGAAAAATCTTTATATATAAATTTTTAATTTTCTAATATTATAAGAGAATTTTAATATTTTTTTTTTATAGTAAATAATAAGCTAAATTTTCTATTTATTATTTTATTTATTAATAATTTATATTATTTAATTTAAAAATATATTTAATTTTTATAATTATTAATTAAATTTATTTATTATAAATTACTTAAATTAGATTTTTTAATATATTTCTTAAATTTAATATATACTATTATATTACTTATTTTATAATCTATAAATAAATAAATTAGAATTTTATTATAATAATAATAAATAATATATAACTTCTTAAAATTAATAAGTATATATTTATTAAATTATATTTATTTCTAGAATTTCTTAATTTCTAAGCTTTAATAAATAAGTTAATAATTATTATTAAGTTTAAATTAATTTTATATAATCTATATTATCTTTATTTATTATTATATTTATTATTTTTTTTTATTAATATTTAAAAAAAAGTAAGATTTATTATTATCTTTATATTAAAATATATTTATTAATATTTTATATTAAGTATTATTAATTAAGAAAGTTAAATTTATACTAAATAAAGATTTAATTAATATTTTAAAATTAAAATATTTAAAAAGAAATTAAAAGAGATATATAAATAAATAAAATATTAGAAATAAAATAAGATTAATATTTAATATATAAATTCTATCTTTTTATTATAATAGAAATTTATATTATTTTAATAATATATTATTATATTATTTTTAATATTTTAAATTAGAGATTAACTCTTTCTAATTAATATTTTAATTAATAGTTATATATTTAAAAATATATAATAACGCTAATATAGAATTAATATTTAATTTAATTAATTTAAAATTCTAATTAGTCTAATTATTAATATTTTTTTATTTAATATAATATATATTTAATTTACTTTAATACTACTTATTCGTTATTATATTATTTTAAATATTAAAATTAAAAATTATATTTTTTTAATTAATATTCTAATTATTAGTTATATTAATAAAAATATATATTAATATTTTAAAATTATTAAATAAATTCTATTAAGCGTTAATATAGAATTAAAATTTAATTTAAACGCTTTAATAATTTAATTAGCTAAATTAATTATTATCTAAATCTTTTATATATAAAGATTAAATCTTTTATCGCATTAAGATTATTTTTAAATTTTAAAATCTTTTTTATTAATATAACTTTTTCTTATTTAAGTAATATTATAATATCTTTTATTTAAATATTAAAATATTAAAATATTATATTCTTCGCTTTTAATTAGATAATCTTATTTTTAAATTAATATCTTTTATTTTATAAAAATAATAATTAATTTATTATAGATAAAGATGAAAAAGAAATAATATATTCTTCTATTTTTATAATAGAAGAAGAAAAATGTCATGAGATGCCTCAGGGATACTCATAGGGCCACTAGCGTAGGCTTGGCACCGCACATATCTGCCTGCAGACCACATAGATAATCAACATCTTTACACCACACACATATATGAGTCAAACCATAATGATTCCTTAACAATTGGTAGCAACACCTGGCCCTACTTCATAGGATATCCAGGCGTCATCAGACGTTTACGCAAAGCCCACATCAACACCTAATAGTGTGACGCTCCAAGCCGGACCTCCAACACACTCGCTGTCATCGAGTACCTTTTGACACCATCCCATCGATCCTTTCACTAGGCCTATCGATACACCATGGCTTCAAATACCTTCGACCAATCACTTGCGAGGCTTGATCAGATGATAGCAATAATCAAATCCCGCATGACTCCTACGGAGCTACAAGCACTTGAAGCATTCGATCTACTATCCTTTGACGATAAGATGGCCCAATGGGAAGCTCGATCTAGGCCTACTCAGCCAGCCACTCAGCCAACTCAGCTAGCCCCTCAGTCACCTACTCAGTCAATCACTCAGCTAGCCACTCAGCCAGCCACTCAGCCAATCCACTCAGTCAGCCACTCAGCCAGAGCACTCAGTTAAGCAAGAGGAGGAACTACAACAGGCACATGCGGAGAACACTGCGGAGAAAGCAAGCGGCAGCAAGGCCATCAGCACCAAGAACACGGCTCAGCTCTCCACGATCCCACGTCAAATCCTCTCCACGCTCCCACGTCAAGCCATCATTCAGCAAGCGGAGAACACCACTACAATTTGGCCTCTCATCCCCACTGCATTGATATGGTATATCACTGCAATGAGCACACAAGAGGAGGATCTACTACGACGATCACAGCCAATTGGGCCTCTGCAGGAGGAACATCGGACGATGCATATTTGGACGAATTGAAACCGTCCGATGTCTTGCTCCGACAGTCATTTCATCATTCAAAAGTTTTCATTCCAGCAGGAGATTTCGTGGGATGCACACCACTAATTAGCCCGGTGTCTCCACTCCTTTCCGGTTTTTCGAAAAGCACACATGCATGCATGCATACTTCTTGCCATGAGGACATGGCATTTCTCTGTTTTTTTGTGGGCAATTGTCATGAGATGCCTCAGGGATACTCATAGGGCCACTAGCGTAGGCTTGGCACCGCACATATCTGCCTGCAGACCACATAGATTAATCAACATCTTTTACACCACACACATATATGAGTCAAACCATAATGATTCCTTAACAAAAAAAGAGTAAATAAATTAATTATAAATTATAAATAATTCGATATTTAAGAATAATAAATTAATAAAATTATAATATTAAAATAAAGAGCTTTTCTTATAATTAATAAATATAAAATTAAATAGAAATTAATTAAATTAATAAAATTATTTTTAATAAATATATTATATATATAAAGAATATCGAAATATATAAAATATAAGAGAGAATATATATATATAGTTATAGATATTTAAAGTATATTTAAAATATAGAAAGAAGCGCTTATATATAGCTTTATAATATATATTAATAAAAAAAAAAAAAAAAATTCTAATTAATTTTCTAATTAATATTTAAACTTAATTTATCTTTAAATAGTATTTTATTTTAATAAGATTTTAATTATATAATATTAATTAGTTTAATAATAAATATTTAATATTATTCTTTTCTAATTTACTCTTTTCTTTCTTAAAAATTCTTTTTATTATTATAATATTTATATTATAATATACTTATTTATTATAATATTATCTATATCTAAATAAAATAAAATTATTTTTTTTATATTTTATAATTAAATTAGATTAATAATATTATTTTTATAAAGTAAGTATATACTTAATAGCGCTATATCTTTTAATATAATAATTAATTATAATATTAATTATAATTTATTAATATATAATATTATTATTTATTAAAGTTATTAACTTAATAGTTATAAAAGTTTAAAAATTTTTTAATAATTTATTAATTATTAATTTAGACTTATTTAAATTATTAAAGTAAAATAAAGATAAGACTTCGCGAAGATAAAAATTAGAAGATTATACGCGAAATTTAAAAAGTATAATTATAAATAAAAAAAGTATATAATTATATTAATTATATATATCTAAATTAAATAATAAATTAATTAAACTTTAAAATTTATATATTAAAGAAAATTCGTAAACTATAAAAATTAATAAATTTAATTATTTTTTAAATTATATTTATTCGAATAATAAAGAAGATTTTAATTTATATAGCTTTAAATTTAATTAATTTACTTTAAATTTAAATCTTTATATTAAGCGTACTTTAAGAAATTATAAAGATAAAATTAGCGAGTAATTTTAATAATATAACTTACTCTTTAATAATTATAAATAAAAAAAATTACTAATTAATATCTAGCGATTTAATTATATATATTTTATATAAAAAGAATTATTTTATAATTAAAAGATATATAGCTTTTTAGATAATTATAATAAAATATAAATTTATAAATAATAATATAATATTATTAAAATCTAAACTAATTTTTATAAAAAGAAAATATATAATAAATAAAAGAAAAACTATTTTATATTAAAAATAAGATATTCTAATTATTATTTTATTTATTATATTTAATTAATAATATTTAGCTATTATACTTAATCTAATAACTTTATATATTTTATATTTATAAAATAAAACTTCTTAAATCGATTTAAATATAAATATATATTTATAAAAATATTACTACTTTAATAAAAAAGGCTTTTTATTTTAAAATCTATATTAAATTAAAGATTATATTTCTATATTTAATAGCTTTAATTCTTATAACTACTATTAATATCGCGACTAAATTCGTATAATAATAATATATCTTTTTTATTAGCGAATATTTTTATATTTAATAATTTTAATTCTTATAATTATTATTAATATTGTAATTAAATTTATATAATAATAATATATCTTTCTTATTAATAAATATTTCTATATTCGATAGCTTTAATTTCTATAATTATTATTAATATCGCGATTAAATTCGTATAGTAATAATATATCTTTCTTATTAGCGAATATTTTACTCGCGATTAAATTCGTATAGTAATAGTACGTCTTTTTTATTAATAAGTATTTCTATATTCGATAACTTTAATTCTTATAGTTATTATTAATATCGCGATTGAAATTTATATAGTAATAATACGTCTTTAATTTTCGTTATTATTTATAAAAGATAAAAACTAATTAGTATTACTTTAAGTAAATTTATTTAATATAATAATTTAAAAAGTAAATTAATAAATTATAAAAGAGTTAATATAATTATTAAAAGATTAATTTCTTTAAAATTAATTAATATAATTATAATAATAATTAAAAATATAATTATTATATTATATAGTATAATTTAATAAATTAAATTTAATAGATTTCGCTAATATAACGCTAGATAGATTTTAAAATATTAAAACTATAAGTAAAAATTCTCTCTTTCTTTCTTTCTTAATATCTTATTATAAATTAAATATTTTCTTTTATTAATATTTTATATTATAATTATTTTATCTTATTTATCTTAATCTAATTTAATAATAATATATTATTAATAATTATTAATCTTGATAGCGATTTTATTATATTATCGTTATATAGAGATAGCGATATTAATTTATATATTAAATTAATTTATTTAAAAAATAATATAAATCTTAATAATCTTCTTAACGATATAAATAATTAATTAAATAATTACTTATTTAATCTTTATATTAAGACTTTAAATTAAAAAAAAAATTTAAAGTTTTTTAATTATAAAAAGATAATCGCGAAAAAAATCGAATAAAATAAGTTTTTAATTATTCGCGCTTTCGATATAAAGATTATAAAAAAAAGTATATAAAGATCTTTATTTATAAAGATTAAAAATTAATATTAAAAATAAGAAAGTAAGTATAATAATATAATATATTAATAAGTAATATATATATATAATTAATAATATTTTAATTATTACTTTATAAGAAATTAAAAGATATTAAAAATTAACTAATTTATTTCTTTTAAAAAGATTTTTTATTTATATAATATAAGAGATTATTAATATAATATTACTATCTTATTATATTATATAAATTTAAATTTCTATATTAAATATATTATAAAAAACTATTAAAGCGACTCTAATATCGAAATTTTATTATATATTAACTTTCTATTAAATTATTATTCTATTAATAAATTATATAATTAATAATCTTTACGCTATTTATAATAAAAGAGTTATATTAATAATAAAAAATATAAAGCTTATATAAATAATATATCGATATATAATAAAAGAAAGTATATAAAAAATAAAAATAAGATAGTTAAAAGTGCTTTACTTAGATAGAAGAGAATTAAGATATTTAATATAAAATAGAATTCTAATTATCTTTCTAATTATTAAAAAATATATAAATTTATTCTTCTAATAATAATCTTTTTATATTCTCTTTATTAATAAAAATTTTTTATTTAAATAAATATATAGCTAATAGTTTTAATACGAAAAATAAAATCTCGAATTTTTAAATTTTATAGTATTATAAATTAAATAATAGTTATAAATAAACTTAATATAAATTAAATTAAAAGTAAGAATTTAATATAATAATAAAAATTTAAAATATTATTTATAAAATTAAAGAAGAAAAAGTTAAAAAGTTAAAAAAGAAAGATAAAAATAAATTTAATAAAAATATTAAAGCTAATAAAAAGAAAGATTTAAAAAAAATAAAATATATATCTAATAAATATAGATATTTAAATAATTTAAATAATTTTTTAATTAATAATATCTATAAAAACGCGAATATAAATCTTAATTAAAAAGTATTATTTATTTTTAAGTATATCTATAAGTAGAAAATATTCGCTATATAAAAAAGATATCGTAATTAAAAAAAATTATATTTTAAAATTAATTATAATTTTTAATAGAAATATTAAAAGGATTTATAAGATAGATAGCGTAAATAATTAAAAACTTAATAATATAAAGTTATTACTTCGCTATTATTAAGTATAAAAAATAGCTTTTATAAAGATTTAAAAGATTAATAATAAAGAGCTATTAAGTAATATATTAATAAATCTACTATCTCTTAATTATTTTAAAAAATTTTTATTAATTTTAAAACTTCGAAGGGAAATACTATAGATCTTAATAAGATTTTAATAATAATTAATTTAATTAAAGATAAATAATAATCCTCTTATTATTAGTTAGATTTTTTTTTTATTCTCTATTAATTTTATTTATAAAAAGTATTAATTAATATCTTTTTAATAATACTAGCTAATTTATTATTTTTTAATAAAAAATATTATTAAAATATATAAATCTAAACTATTATATTATTTAATAATTATAAAATTAATATTAATAATAAAAAATTTTTATTCGCGATTCTTATTATATAGCTTTTTAATATCTATATTATAATTTATAAATATTTATTTTATTTAATAATAAATATCTTTTCTAGTTAATATAATTATTAAAGAAATTTTTATCTTCTCTTATAATTATTATAAATTTTTATCTTCTTAAATACTATAATTTATTTCTTTATTTAAACTTTAAATTTATTATAATATTAAAATAATCTAGATTTTAAATAAAAAGTATAATATATAATATAAGAATTAGCGTTTTATATAAGAGAAAAGAATTTATATTATAAAATTCTAAGTATCTTTTTAATTAATAAATAATAAAATCTATTATAATCTTTTTTTTAAGCTTTTATATTTAAATATTTATATTTTAATAATAAAAATAAAAAGTAATTTAAAATCTTATTATTATAATTATTAACTATTATTTAAAAAATCTTTTTTACTTTATTATTATCTTTATTTAACTT